AGCAAAACCAGGCCATCCTAAATTTGTAGGCAGCAAAAGAGTGTTTGTGAGCAGAGCTGAAGTGAGTTATTTCAAGATGCTGCAGTACCTCTCCATAAAACATCAGAGCAGTGGCCAAATGGTACCCGAGGCAGAAGGGAGGGTTTGGCCCAGAGATTCACCCTGGGCTGTGCTACAGCTCCAGCTTCTCTTCAGCTCAGCAATATCTCTGCACGGGTTAAAGAACAGCCCAAGAGGAGGACAAGATGTGGTGCGTTGCCCTGGCCAGAGCTGCTGCTTTGTGTTCCCCTGGCTGCAGATGCACCTGAAAATGTGGATCTCAAACTGGGGAAATGCAGAGGGAGGTGGTTAAAGGAAATTAGTCAAAAGCTCCCAGGTTTGGCCCATGGCATGTTACAAAATGTTGGAGAGCCTGGCTTCTCACCCTCCTGTCTGAATTTGTACCTCTGGGGCCAAGGGTGGCTGTTGGACTTGGTGAAGGGAGTGCAATGGAAGCAGAATGGAGAGGTGAGACCCACCCAGGCGTGGGATGTTCCCTGCCCTCATCAGCCCTTTCCCCCAGCTTCTGGTCTGGCCCATCCTCGATTTCCCAAGAAGGTTTAGTCTGAGGGGTTTGTGTCCAGCTCCAAGGACACAAAACCCAGGGAGAACTCCTCATCCTCACTGGGCCAGGCACTGCCCAGGCTGTGGGGATGGCCCCAACCCCATCTGCTCTGATCTGGGTGCCAAACATCATGCAGATCTGCTCAGGAAAGAGGCCAAGCCCAGACATTTGGGCTGGGGAGCAGAGCAGAGGTGACTTACACCAAGGGTGGATGGAGAGCTGCCCAGTGGCAGTGCAGCTTTGCAAGGGGAAATGTGCTGTGCAGCTGCCCAAGGAGACGAGAAGCATCTGCTGGGACACAAGGAAAGACATTGGTTAGTGATGAAGTCACTTTCTGAGGTCAGATAGTCACTTTGTGCTGCATGTGCATCATTCCCATCGCTACCACAGATGATTCAGCATCTCCATCACCAGCAGGTGATGGCAGGACCCCCTTGGGTGATGTCCTCTGGGAATTCTGGGCTGAATGACACCTTGGCCTCCTTGGCAGTCAGTGACATTGATTTAAAGGCAGAAAAAATGGAATGGGTGGTCAGGAGACCTTTGTTTGCTTTCTTCTCCCAGTGGGGTGTGTTTTTAAATGTTGTGTAAATGCTTCAGATGTCACCAAGACTTTTGAGTCAGCGTGACACAGGCAGGACCTCAGTGCCTGCATGGGGTAAAGGTTCAGCAAAATCTGGTGACAGATGATGGAGCCATGGGAGAGGAACTGCCCTGACAGAAGAGGTTTTGTGAGTGGCAGTGATGTGTGGCCTGTGGTGGGTCTGCATGGACCTGCCCAGACTGACAAGGGGTTGTGGCTGATGCTTCAACTCCCCTCCAAGTGCAGAAGGGCAGCAGGCGGTTCAAATTCCCCCAGCTCAGCATCTGCAGCCTGGATTCCACTTGCAATCTTGCAAAAGCCTTATAAATTTTTTAGAGCAGCCCCAAACGCCTGCTGAGTCAGCCAATCAGCTCCAGTGGATTAAGAAAACTTACTTTAAATTATTAACAGCACACAGCCGAGGGTAGAGGTGGGAAAGGAGAAGTATTCGTTGCTCATTCCAGTGGATGCCACAAGAGGAGTGTGGGGTTTGCCAGAGGTGTCCATTCACACCTAAAGGATGGTCCCATTTGTGGGATCTTCCCTTCTCCATCAGGAACCCCAACCAAGGCATCAGAGCCATGCTGTGCACAGGCTGTGCTGCACCGTGGAGATTTCCTTTTGGAAACTGGGTTCACATCCAGCCCACACCCCCTTCCTTCCTCTTCCCTCCTCTTCCAGGCCCACTGGCTTCTCTCCTCTTGAAGAGCTGGTCCCCAGCTGTACAGCAGAGCCAGTCCTAAAGAGTTTTTTATTTTCCTGCAACCTCAAGTACTTTTCCCTCCGCCAGCTTTAAATTTCAGGAAATACAATCACATTTGCAAATTCCAGTCCCCAAGGAAACAGCAATAAGCACTTTGCATCTCCCGAGGCTATTCCTTTTGCTTTGGCCGTGCTGCCAGGATGAGGGACATGGGTCTGGGTTTCCTCTGCTTGGCAGCAGTTCCAGGAGGACTTTGTCCCTGTTTCCACGAGATGGCACCGATGAGGCTGCTCCGGGATCAGCCACCGCGACGCCTTCAGGGAGGACTGGGGTGGAAAATTACTCTAAAACAATAAAAGTTGCTATGAAAATATGCCTCTGAGCTCTGGGTAGTGGCGTCCCAGCACACCTGGACATGGCAGGGAGGAATTGGAGGAGAATTGGACATTTTAAAATCCATCTCACCACCACAGTTCTGTCACCTGCCATGGGTCACACACACCCACCTGCTCTGACACGGTGCTGATGGTTCCAAAATCAGCTTGAGCTCACTGCAAGGTTTGCCAAAATCCACCCGTGGTCGAGTTCGGGGGGCTGTTGGGTTGTTTATCATTTTGGTAGGATCCCAAAATGGATCATGTCAAACTAAGGGCATCATTGCTTGTGTGCCTGCAAGCCCTGTGGGGCCAGGCAGCGACTGTTGGTGGGTTGTTGATCCAATCCCAGAACACAGATCCACAATGGATTTAAACCCAAGGTTTGGCTGGAGGCAGACTGTGACTTCATTGATACTGCGTTGAGATGCTCAGAAATTCAGCATGTTTTTCTTTTGGAACCTCATCCTTTGAAGTGGGTTTAAATAACACTATTTCTGTTCATTCTGTCTTGCTAAGGATCCTGATCCAGACCTCCCAAAATGAGGGATGCTGTTGCTGCTGAGATCTCACTTCAGACACCATCTCTTCTTTCTGCTCCTGCAGATCACCTGGGGTGCCAACCCACATTGAACTGAGGCTGAAAACTTGGCCCAGCTCTGAGCCATGAGCAAGTCTGAGTTAAATCCTCTGGGGTTTATATTTTTGCTGTTCTGCAGTTCTATCATTAATTACCTCACCACTTGTGCAGTGCTACCAGAGTATCTTTCACAGCTCCCCTGGCATATTTCTATGGAAACGTAGCCGTGGCTCTGTCAAGCCTGTTTTTGCTTTTAAAATAGCGAGAGAGGGGCAGACTTTGCGCCTGCTCTTCTCTGTCCCCCACCTGACCCCATGGTTGTCCCCACTCCTGCTGTGCCAGGGGCTGCCTTCCATGGGGCACCAGGGAGCTGGAGGTTCCTGAGCAGCGTGGGAGGGATATTCCCACATGAGCTCCTGAAGCTGCTGCTTTTAAGGATGCAGGAAGATCATGCACATGAGGATGTTCTCCTGCTTGGAAATACCCAGGAAGAGGTACAAGCTGTCTCAGGGAAAACATGCCTTAGGAGCTGGGAAATGCAGGAGGAGCTGGAAGATGAGATTAAACTATCAGTGGGAGAACAGCCTTCTCCTGTGGCTGTGCTGTGCCTGCAGGGATCCCCAGATCCCCTTCCAATTTGTGGCATGCCAAGGACACGGCACTTCAGAGAGCCCAGACACTGCAAAGACCTTGGGAATCAAATTGTTTTCTATGGATGAAGCTGGTGGATGTGGGGTGTGTGGAGAGGGGTGAGGAGCCTTGGTGGCCTGTGCACACCAAGGTTTGGGGATCTTGGCCCAGGGAGCCAGTCCGTGTCCGTGATGCAAACATGGGATGGGGAGAGTTTTGGGGGAGCAGGCAGGGTGAGATCATGGAGAGCTCTCTGTAATTCAGCTTCATGTCAGCTCCTTGAGGCTCTGCCTGGGGACACTCAGCACTGCAGAGCATCAGATGTTAATTAGGATCATTAAGGGCTTTGTGACACAAACAGTAATGATGATATTTGTGTCTCTGGAGCTCTCCTGGGAAGGGCCTCGCTGATGCTGCCCTTTGAAGAGACCGTGTAGGGCCACATGTTCCCAGCACTGTCTCCTCCTGAAAGCCGAGTCATGGGCAGAGACAAGCTCAGGATGCCCCAGCATGCTGCTAATGCCTCCTTCAGGGAGGAAACGTCCCTTGGAAACATCCCCGGAATGATGTAGTGGAATCACAACTCTCACACCGCCTCCCTCCTTCTCCCCGCCCCATTGTACCACCTACTGCTCCTCCTCACACTCGGTGCTCCCACTCAGTCCCCCTCACAGCTCCTGGCTGATGCTTTTTGGCCAATCCCAACCACTCAGCAACCAGAACCCCTCGGACTAGGACAGCTGCACTGGGTGGAGTTGGGAGAGCTGCACACCTTGCCTGGACTGTGATGAGAGTCAAGACACTGCCCTGGGTGAAGACCATGAGTTTCAGGGCTTCTTGTGAGAGCTGAGTCATGTCTGGGTGTCAGTAAGGAAGAAATGTTCCTGTTGTGTTGTTTGGAAAGGGCTGGGGGATCCACCATGGATGGGTGATGCCACAAAGCAGAGCAGCTGTCTCAACCACTGCTCCCAACATGATGGGGAATGACAAAGACCCAAAGTGATGCTGCTCACCCTTACAGGAGACAGGGGGTGCCCTATTTACCTTTCTCTCAGTGGCATAACTCTAGGAGCTCAATTTAAGCTGTTTTGCATTAAAAAAGTATTAAAAAGACTCTGGAAAATTATTTTAGAGGCTTGAGCTAGTGAAGGAGACCCTCAAAACTGCTGTGAGAGCTGTCTCTGCTTCAGGCTGGGGGAATCACTTGGGTCAAGGGGTGCAAGCTGGGAAAGGGCTGAATGCTGGCTGACACCCTGAATATGGGCTCCCAGCTGTCCTCCTTCCTCCTGATTTCCATCCCAGGCCCTCCTGTGCCCATCCCCACCATCTGCTCTAGGTGAGACTACACAGCCCCCAGCCAGCCCAGCCCCTGTCAGTAACAGATGCACACACACACAGCTCCACACCTTTTGGGTTGGTTGGTTGGTTTGGTTTGTTTGTTTGTTTGTTTGTTTTTTGTGGGGGGAGGGGGGCAGTTTGTCTGGTTTTGGTTTGGTTTTTTTTTGTTTTTTTTTTTTTTTCCACTGTGGATGTTGTACCAGTTTTATTGGTAAAATTAACATGAAGCCTCACAAACGCTGGAACATGCTTTTCCTTTTAAAGAATTTCCACTGGACCTTAATGGTGAGCATCCAGTCGTTGACATATAAACTCTTACAAGCTGATGTGCACACGTGCGCCCGGGGGAGACGGTGGCAGCGTCCTGGTGTCAGGGATGGTTTCTGCGCGATGCACTGGGAGCCCACGATTCATTTGCCAGCCTTCTGGGCCTTCTGGGCAGACTTGGTGACTTTCCCAGCCCCACCGCTCTTCTTCTCCACGTTCTTGATGACGCCCACGGCCACGGTCTGCCGCATGTCACGGACAGCGAAGCGGCCTGAGGGACAGGGAGAGGAGGAATGAGAGAGAGACACCGAGGCTGAGCTCTGCTGGGAGGATGAGGGTGGGATCTACACCCCCCACTCATGGTGCTATGTGTTATCCCTGCCCTTGGAGCAGGTTCCTGCAGGGACAAGCCCTCAGCTATCAACTCTTGCCAGTCCTGATGCTCCCCCCTATTTAAATTACTGGTTTTTAAAGTTAAACCCCATCTCTTCTCTGCAAGCTCCCAGCACTGCTGAAGATTCCAGATGTGCAACATCAGCCTGGTCTAGTGGAAGGTGTATCTGCCCATGGCAGGGGGGTGGAACAAGATGGCCTTAAAGTCCCTTCCAACCCAAACCATCCTAGAACTCAAGCATGGCACATCCCTGCATTTAAGGATGGCCTCCACTGCACAAACTTCGCTCTTTCTTCTCCTGACCAGTTGTTTCAGGGCAGAGAGGAGGAAACTGGAAAATGTTTCAGTGTTCAGAAACTATCATGGTTTAGCAACCATAAAGCAAAGGTCTTGCTGCTCCCAGAAGCAAAACCCAGCCTTTGGAGACCCAGCTCAGCAGCATATGGGAGAGCAAAAAACATCCTCGGCTCCCTCCCCATCTAGCTGGGAGAAGCTCAGCATGTCTGGTGTGAGCTCTGCACCCACAGAGCCCTCATGCTCCTCCACAGGAGACCTCCAAAGAGCCATTCCCTTACCAAGGGGTGGGTACTGGGAGAAGCTCTCCACACACATGGGCTTGCCAGGGATCATCTCCACGATGGCTGCATCACCCGACTTCAGGGACTTGGGGTTGTCCTCCAGCTTCTTGCCAGAGCGCCGATCGATCTTCTCCTTCAGCTCGGCGAACTTGCAGGCGATATGTGCGGTGTGGCAGTCGATGACGGGCGAGTAGCCAGCACTGATCTGGCCAGGGTGGTTCAGGATGATCACCTGGGGGACAGAGCAGTGTCATGGCAAGGCTGGGAGCGGGGGGACGGCGGCAAACCAGGCGTGGTGGCATCAACACGTCCTGCTCACCTGAGACGTGAACTGCGCTGCCTCCTGCGGCGGGTCCGACTTGCTGTCCCCGCAGACGTTCCCGCGGCGGATGTCCTTCACCGAGACGTTCTTCACGTTGAAACCGACGTTGTCCCCAGGCAGAGCCTCGCTCAGGGCCTCGTGGTGCATCTCCACGGATTTCACCTCAGTGGTGATGTTCACAGGGGCAAAGGTGACCACCATGCCAGGCCGTAGGATTCCAGTCTCCACTCGGCCCACAGGGACTGTGCCAATCCCTGTGGAGACAAGGATAGAGTGCAGCAAAATTCAATCTGCTTGGTACGTCCCTGGGCCAGAACCCACATTCAACAAAAGCAAGACTTCTCCAGTGGTTGTCACCAAAGTATGTTTGCTCCTTGCCCAAAACCCCCAAGTTTTCAGCGGATCAACACAGGGATTTTGAAAATCACTATGATTTTCACAAAACTCAAAGTTGTGTAAAAAAGAAGTAACCCATTGTCAGAAAGTCCTGAGCAATGCCCCAGAAGTTCTTCTCCTGGAGCAGCTGTGGCATCTCTGGTGTGGAGGACTGGGACATCCCATCATGTGTGCAACACCGTCCACATCCCTGGTGGCCACACCATCAGCTGTGACAGAGAATGAAGGTGGCTCATTAAGTATCTAGGATCTTTTACCTTGGTGACTCTGTGTCACCAAGAGACTTTGGGAAAATTCCCCTTGGAGGCAGGTAAAGAATGATTGAGAAAAATAACATTGAAAAGAGATTGAAGAGGTTGGCTGGACCCATCTGCTCCTCCACATCCACCCTTCTGCCTCCACCTCCCCTCTTCTCACTGTGCCTCTGTTCTCCAAGGACCTGCCTGCCAGTAAAACCAGATCCCTTTGCCCCAGCTAAGCTAGAGGAGGACACAGACCTCCTCACCATTTTTCATGTCCACTGCAAACAGCAGCCTGCATTAAAAACCCTGCTAAAATCCCATGTTCAACCCTTGCAGTGCATGTGTCCTTGGAAAAGGGTGGGAAAGGTCTGGAAAACTCAGTGCCTGCCTGATCCAGCAGCCAGGGAGTCAGCAGTGCTGTCCACTTATGCCAGCAGGTCAGAAAGCTCACAGGGTATTTATAGCTGAGCAAACTGTTCCCATCACCTCTCCAGAGGGAAGGGGACACGCGTCAGCCACGGCTCTCCCTACATGGCTGGCACAGCTTGGCAGGAGGAGGTGCTGATGATGGACACCAGCATTTGGGAAGCTCAGGCAGGTCACAGTCAAGCTGCCATGCACCAGCTTCAGTGGCTCTCCCTGCTGGTCCTGTCTCTCACCTGGGACACAGAATGCTTCTTGCTGCCTCCAGCTTGCCAGCCGTGACCTCTGGGGTCAATTTGCAGCCGTTTTGGCATCATGTATTCCCTGGGGAGAGCTCACAAACCTGCTGCTCCTCTCTGGTCCCTGGGCACCTTTGGGCACGTCCACCTCCACCCCAGGCAGCCCAGGCTCAAATGGGGTCTTTGCCCAGGAGCTACCACCCTTTATTATCTCTGGTTTGAAGAGTCAAATCCCTCCAGCTTCCCAACACCTGGAAATGTCATTCCCAAATTTCTGTGGAATGAAGACTCGGGTTAAGGCAGAGGAGTGGCAAAGCTCACCTCCAATCTTGTAGACATCCTGGAGGGGCAGGCGCAGGGGTTTGTCTGTGGGGCGGGTCGGGGGCAGGATGGTGTCCAGGGCCTCCAGCAGGGACACCCCACTGGCGTTGCCTTCTTTGCGCTCCACCTTCCAGCCTTTGAACCAAGGCATCTGGGAAGAGAGCAGCAACAGAGAACCATAGAATCACAGGATGGTTTGGGTTGGATGGGACCTTGAAGACCATCTTGTTCCACCCCTCTGCCATGGGCAGGAACACCTTCCACGAGACCAGGTTGCTCCAAGGCCCACCCAACCTGGCCTGGAACACTTGCAACACGCACTGAGTGTGCCTGTCCTCAGCACCCAGAGGTAAGCCCAGAGAGATGTCCCACCAGGACAACCTTCATAAATCAGTCCTGCCATGTCCTGGCTTTACTAGGGGCTGGGGAGCTCCTTCCACTCCACCATCCCTGCAGACTTTGCTCAATCTCCCTCTCTCTTCTAGAAATGAGCAAGACATCCATTAACAGGAGAAAAAGAATGGAAGTGGTTAAAGCCAGCAAACTCACAGCCCCCACTTCCAACAGCAGCCCATGGGCACTGCACCAGCTGCCTGGATCCTGCCCTCCAGGAGTGCTGCCCCCAGCACAGGGACCACAGGGTCTGCAGCCAAGCACCAGATACGAAGTGCTCAGCCTTCAGTCCTGGGGTCCAAGCTTCTCCAATGTGAGTCCCAAAGAGATGCTTCCCCTCACTCACTCCTGCTATCACCCCTCCAGGGTTGGGATTCTAAACTCTGGCTTGGGAAGATGCTGGAAACCCATCTGCCAAGAGACAGGATTGTTTTTCACAGATGTTCTATTCTCCTGTCCTAAAGTGGGTATTAAAACTAAAATTTCCCAGAAAAGAGGCAGAGTGGTGGAAATGTGCTCAGCTACCATGGTTAAATGCAGGGAAATGCAGTGCTTTATTAGGGTGATGCTGCACTTCTGGATGTTGCAACAACACCTGGAGCTTGCTGGCAAGAAAAATTTAGTCCTGGTCTGAGACAAGCCTAATACAAAAGCAGAGATCAGAGTCTGCACGGCCATTCCCCTGCCTCTGCACAGAGAGGGTTAGACAATATTTTCCCACTCAAATGTCAAATGTTTCCCGTGTGTCCCAAATCCATCACACACTTTGTGGATGTGGCTTTTTTCCCTTAGCACCAACACCAGGGGCACAGTGCAGTGGGCACGGGGGGCTGGGGTGAAGCAAGACCCCCAAAGTGCCCCCAGCTTCACAGCCATCCCTGCAGGGTGTGGCTATGCCAAGTCGTATGGTTTCCTATCCTGCAATCTGCACCAGCTTTGGGAAGGAGAGAGGGAAACACAGGATGCAGCCAGGGAACTCAGCTTGCATCCAAAGCATTCAGGAAAATGACCTTCAGGGGATCATGTCTGACACCACTTGTCTTTCTTGGCGGCGGTGGCAGGAGGAGCCTGGGGTCTTTTGCTGCGGGTTCTTCCCAGGGCACTGCAGCTCTCGGTGTGCAGCCAGACCCAGAGCCAGGCAACAGCTTGGCAAAATGAAAACTCCATCCAGGCAGCGAGGGAGCCTCGTGTGATGTGCAGGATGACTCAGACCTTCCCCCATTCTGCTGTCGCATGGCCCAAACGCCAGGCAGGGACCTGTGCCAGCAGCTGCCTGGTGGCCACCTGCCCACAGGCTCTGCTCTCGAGGATGACGGCCACCAAGTGCCCACAGCTCCTGTCCCTCTGCTCCACACAGCTCTGGCACACAGGAAAATAACAACCTCTGCCCAGGACACCTGGCTGCCAGAGCCATCCCTCTCTCCAGGGGACTTCAGACATGCCAAGAATCAGGTAAAGATGAACTTGGACACCTTCTGGGAATGAATCTCTGCAAAACCTCAGCGTGGCCTCAGGGTGAAAAGTGTCTGCAAAACCTGGTTTGTGCTGCCTCCTATGGCCACCCAAATAAAACCTCTGTCATGTATTCCCCAAATCTGCTCCCCAAAGACCAATTCATATCCCACCACTCCTATGGCAAAAGTAGGATCTGACCAAACCCTGCAGACAGGCTCCAGCTCCCCAAAATATCAGCTGAACTCCAGCTCTTTTACACTCAAAGTTTGCTTTACGGAGCAGTTGCCTTTCCCTGATTTGGCCCAGCCCACGAGCACCTCAGCACCCCCACCACACACCCCAGTGGTGAGGCTGCAGTCCCAGGCAACCACACATCCTGCCACCAGAGACTGGGTGTGTCTGGGCTGCAGCATCCCATGGGGTGAAAGTCTCCCAAACCGCATGGAATGGCCCCGTTCTGCCAGCTGGAGCATCACAAAGCTGCTTCACAGAACACCTCGCTTCCCAAAAAGCTCTCAAATGCCAAAATTTGATGGAAGCACAGCCATTTTTTGCAGTTGGCCTTGGGATTCTGTGCAACAGGGGTGTGGGATGTGAGTCTCCCACACAGAGCCGGTTCCAGCCTGATGTACCCTCCTTGCTCAAAGGCAACAGGAGCTGCAGGGACATCATGGCTCTAATCCCCACTTTCTGATAAGTCCCCTGACAGACAGACAAGTCACTTGACTGCCTTGTGCTTCAGTGAAACCTGTCCAGAAATTACAAGTGAAAATAATCAGAGCTTTTTCAGGAGAGGAAAGAGAGAAGAGACATCTACACCAGGTTCCTGCTTAAGCTTTCCCTGAGGTGGTGCAATATGAGGAGGAGGAGTCTGTCCCTCAGCCTTCTCCAGCAGAACTCATGCTGTTCCAGACCAGGCCAGGTTTTCTTTCTCAGTTCCCTAGCTCAGGCAGAACCCAGGAGCCAGCTGCTTACTTAGGGCAAAGGACAGAGTTGTTTCATCCCCTGCCTTCTCTCAGGTGGCACATCACACTGGGAACCTGCCCTGAGACCCCTCTGGAGGCAGGGGGCCACCGAGCCCCTCCTGCCCCATGCCTCCCCTCTGCTGTCTATTTATAGGAGAATTGTTCAGGATCATCTTCCCGGCCCAGCAGCTGCTGACATTTGGAGCTTGCCGGATTTGAGGCACCCAGGAACCACGGGGCTGGGTTTGGCATGGCCGTGGCTGACCTTTATCCCAGCTCTGCTCCTCCGGGAACAGGAATCTCCCAAGCACCCCAATAATTCCTTCCTTCCAAGCCATCCCAAGGGAGCTGCCTTTCCTGTGCAGGGCAGGAGCCGTGTTTCATGGCTGTGTGAGTTTCCATTGCAGCACTCTCCTTCCTCAGGCCTGTGATCCCTGACCTCCCTCCATTGCTGCTGGACTCATGGATTGCCTCCCTCATCACAGAGCCCTGCCCTAATTCACAGGTGATGTCCTGAAGTCCCCCTAAGCATCAAATTTCCCACTGGTTTCACAAGAGATTCCTGGGGTGTCCGATCTCAGCAACTTGCTCAAGGTCACACAGAAGTCACCAGGAGAGCAGGGACCTTCCTCTGGCCAGAACTTTCCAGACCATTATTTCTTTAAAAGACTAACCCTGAGGTAGCTTTTCCTCCAACAAAACCAATGTCAGAATAACAAGTGTTTTGGGCAGCCTGTCTGCCAAAACCTCCATCCTTCTGAAGCCTTTCCTTCTGCTGTACTAAATGATGGCACTGGCCCACCCAGAGCACTCCACCTTTGTCTCCCCACCACAGAGGGAGTGAAAACCAATGGGAAAAGGAGCAGCCCCAAGTGGATACTCTAGGGAACTGTGGTTTTGGCATGGGAAACCTGGTACTCCCTGAAGACAACTTTAGGAATGAGATCCCAGCACTGGAGGTGGAGGTTTGGCCCCCACAGTGACACAAAGCATCGATGGGAAAGGGAACCTGAGACCCAGCACGAGAGAGCCCGGCTGCACTGTGGGAACTGCTCCAAGCCTGACCCCAGATTGTGCAATTCCCCTCAGAAAACAATGCCCTAAAAACACACCCACTGCTCCTGCTGAGTGACAATTGCTGCTCTAATGTCACCGTGGGTTCTGACAAAGTGAAAACTTCAAATCCCAGCCCAGAAGCAAAGCCAGACTGATCATCTCCTGAAGATGCTCATGTTTAGCTGCTGGGGTGCCTGGCCAGGGCTCAGCACCCATGAACAGAGAGCCCATTCATCCTGCCCAGGGCCAAGCAGAGCTCCATGACCCATCATCTGTGCTGCCAGCACATGTTTGCAGAGCAGAGCTCATCTTCAGCCTGGGTCAGGGTCCTCAGGGAGGGGGAGAAGCATAACACAAGGCACACTTACATTGGGAGAGGGCTCCAGCATGTTGTCTCCATGCCAGCCCGAGATGGGCACGAAGGGAACTGTGGCCGGGTTGTAGCCGATCTTCTTGATGTAGGCGCTGACCTCCTTGACGATCTCGTCGTAGCGTTTCTCGCTGTAGGGGGGCTCTGTGGAATCCATCTTGTTGATGCCCACAATGAGCTGCTTCACCCCCAGGGTGTAAGCCAGCAGGGCGTGCTCGCGGGTCTGCCCGTTCTTGGAGATGCCGGCTTCAAATTCACCCACACCGGCAGCGACGATCAGGACAGCACAGTCAGCCTGGGGCAGAGAGCAAATGAATTGCTGCACGGCCCTGGTGACACCCCTGAGGGCTTTGGTTACCCACAACACTGCTGATCTGCCTTAAAACTGACCCAGCTGTGCCATTTCAGACTTGCCAACCCCACATGGTTCTGCACTGTGGGTGAGAAACCAATGTGGATCCCTCCTGGATGCAGGACTCTGACCAGGATCATCTACAGACATTACAGAAGTCTTGCAAAAAACCTCCCTGAGTGACAGGTGTGACTCCAGCCATGGAAACTGTTCCCCAAATTACTTTTGTACCAAGAACACACAGCAGAAGCTGCCTGGGTTTGGCAGAAAGCCATGCCCAGTCCAACTGGTACCTCAATGGAAATCTCCCTGGGCATAGTGGGGTTCACCCAGCGCCCATCAATCACAGGGAGATGCAGGAATGTCCCATAATTCCTACCCAGGAAGAGTAGGCCGTTTGGTTTGGCAATATTATGTGGGACAAAAACAGCTGTTTTGAGGAAAAGGAAGGAGAAAAGATCTGTGGAGCCTCCTTTATCCAAAAAAACCTGGTGGATTGTTGGAAGTTTCCTGTATACCTCATTTGGCTGAAGCTAAAATAATGTGGAGATACCCTCACACAAAGGCCTGTAGCTCCCAGGAAAGCCATGTTCATCCCACCTTCTCACGTGGGTGGAAATGGAGTGGGAAGCCCCTTCTTTGTGCCCAAGGACACCCTTTTTCCCAGACACCCAGTGCAAGACCATGGCGTGCTGGGTCCCCTGGCACTGCCCAGTCTCTTGGGTGGACCCTGCTGAACACTCCTCGATGTCAGCTCTCTCAACTCCCCACCTCCAAAAGGACTAACAGCACCTGCATGACCCTGAGCTCGTGAACAAACCTCAGCCTCCCATCTCCAGCAGCCCCCCACGCCCTGGGCCCCAGCTCTCACCTGGGAGGTCCCAGTGATCATGTTCTTGATGAAGTCCCTGTGGCCAGGGGCATCAATGATGGTGATGTAGTACTTGGTGGTCTCAAACTTCCACAGCGAGATGTCAATGGTGATGCCACGCTCGCGCTCGGCCTTCAGTTTGTCCAGCACCCAGGCGTATTTGAAGGACCCTTTCCCCATCTGGCCAACACAGAGACAAGAACTAGTGAGAAACTCAAGCCCACAGCACTGGTGGTGGCCTCCCACCCTCCAGGCACTTCCCAAGCTCACACAGGGTCACACTGCAAGCATTTAATGGTAAAATTCCCTTAATTCAGTGAGAGCTGTGGTCTATTTACTAAAAAATACAGGTGAAAGAAGATATTGTTCTCAACACATTCCTCAACAGGATGCAGGAGAGGCTGGAAGAAGAGCCATGGAGTGAATTTGTGAGTGGGGCTGGGTGGGCAGGACCTGGAGGCAGCAACCCATGAGGTCTCCTCCATGAAACACCACGGTCCTGCCCTGCTGCTGGAAAATCCTGTACAGAAACATGTAAAGCTGCTTCTTGCCACACCAAATGTCTCTGAGACAATATCCATATACTTATCCCATTTCCTAATGCTAATGGAGTTATTGAAAAATGTCTGTTTATGAGTTTTGTTTTATTTCCCATGGTTTCACAGAGATGCACACACAAGGATGTGGTCTAGTGGTGGGCTTGGCAGTGCTGGTTGGACTCAATGATCTTACAGGACTTTTCCAACCTAAATCATTCTCTGATTCTGTGATTTTAATCCATGACTCAGACCAGTGAAGCAGCTGGTTAGTGGGAAAGGGCATTGCTACATGAGTGAGCCCAAAACTGGCAGGGGTGGAATGGGTTAAAAGAAAATTAAATGAGAGTTGGTTGCTATGAGCAGAATAGAAACGTGATTGATTCTTGCCACAGAGTGTGCAAATTCACAGGAAAAGCTACTGTGAGCTGCAGCCAGACCAACTGTCATTGCCAAATGGCCAAAATCTCAGCCAACATTGTAATGCAGGAAATCACGCTGGGGGAGATTAGCTCCAGTAAATCTTCCTGCCCAGTGATAAAGCACATTCCCTGGTAAAACCACAGTGTCACTTCCGAAGGGCCTTCTCCTCTGGGTTGGAGCCCTTTGACGTCACTGCACCAGGGGAGCTGGATTTCCCTCCAGCGTGGAGGTCGCGCTCCCAGTCTGAGCTGGATCCTGCCAGGTGGAGATGAGGCAGGACAAGCCCACCCTTGCTGACCACTCTGTGTGCTGGGGCAGTCAGGGCAGCCTGGCCAAAGCAAGGGGTTAAAATGGGCTGCAGCCATCAGCTCTTGGCCTCAGACACAGAGGGGGTTTAAGGCAGAGAAAGGAATTCAGGTAATTTGCAGATGATTTAATGGTCTCCTATTGCTCTGCAAGGTCAGAGCTGTGATACCCTGCTTCCATCCATCCATCCATCCATCCATCCATCCATCCATCCATCCATCCACTCCCTGCAATCACAGTTTCTTCTAGCTCATTGTCAGTCACTGGTCAGAGAGAAGCATCTCCTGCTGGCAGATACCAAATGCTCCAGTGCTGAGCCTCCCCAGGAAAGAGAGCACAGCATCACATCCAAACCTGCCCTGCCTGCACCATGCCCAGGGGCTGGTCTGCTCCATCTCCCACACTCCAGCCCTGTTCCCAGCCAGCACAAGGAATTAATGGTGACAGCCTGTTTCATAACAGCTGAGTGCTGCGATGACTTTGCAGCTTGCTCTGGAGGATTATGGGCAAAATCCTAAAGCTAAGGGTAAGATTTCCCCTCCTCAGAGGGGATGCCAGGTCGAGGAGGTGATGCCTCATCTCTGCTGGGAAGCTGTGAGCTCTCACTGGGATGGAAAAATCCAGAATCAAGCCTCTGCTCCTGAGCATCTTCCTGACACTGGATTTAGTGAGGGGGTAGAGCAGGAGCTTGAAGGATTTTAGAATCACAAAATGGTTTGGTTTGTAAAAGACCTCACAGATCAGCTCATTCCAACCCATCTGCCATGGACAGGGGCACCTTCTACTAGACCAGGTTCCTCCAGATTCCACCTGGCTTGGCCTTGAACACTTCCAGGGATGGGGCCAAGTTAACCCTTTCCAGCACGTACATCAAACTCCCCCTTAGGGAACAGGGAGGAGTCATCAGAGTGTGCTCATTTACTGCTGGAAATGGAGATACAGCAGGGAATGGAGCATTTGTGCACTGCATTAATAATGGGCTCTTCTCAGGCAGGAGGTCAATCAGCACATCCCACAGCCTTTCCCCCATCAGCAGCCTACTCCCTCCCTTCTGGGTGGGGAAACTGAGGCACAGAGTAGACCCCTGGCTCTCCCACAGCAGCTGAGTGGGAATCAGCACCTTCTTGCCATCAGCCATGTCCACACACACAACCAGCTGCTCATCACGTGTGAGACCCCCCCAGAGCTCGGCATCACACGTAACGTGAAGACAAATGAGATCCTTTATTTAGCAAACAGCTTCCCTCCTTTCACGGGGTGTATTCAGTTACCCAGAGCTGGTGTTGAAAAACCCAGGGTATTATCTAGTTCTGCACAATACCTTCCCTGTTCAGTGCCAGAAATAGCCTGAATTTCCCTGATCGAACCCCAGCAGAGGGACAGCTTTCTATCTGGAGGCCACAAACACTGATTATTTCATTTTTTTAAAAAAAAACAGAACAACTCTTCTTTCAGAGATGCTGTTACCTCTGCCCTTGAATCAAAAGAAAAAAAAAAAAAAAAAAAAAAGGGAGAAATCCTTGCTCTTTTCTCTTAAATAAAATAACAGACCCTGGGGTTTTTTTGTTGGCCTTTTGGGTGCACGCAGGCCTCCATTTCCTGTGAATGCCACCTAATGGAAGCAAACCCTTCCCCAGCCCTGCATCAGAAAATGGAGTCTGTAAGCTCAGTCAATAGGCTATTAATAGCAGCCTCCGGTGCCCGCAGATCCTGGCAAGTCAGTGAAAGTGTCTGTTCAATTAAAATCACTGCAATCACATCGACGATAACCTCATCATGTATTATCTGATCTTATAGGTAAAGGGAGGGGGGATTTATGGAAGGATATCAGCAATCATTTTAAACCAGGGAACAGGGATCATTTTGTATGAAGGAAGAGGCTCTTTGGCTTAAGGATGCGAAAAAAAGGCTGAAAAGGGGGCAGGAAAACAAGGGATTTAGCTCAGATGCTATTGGAAAATTAAATGCTTAAGACAGACAGAAAAATGTGAAATCAAAAGTGGCAGCTGTATAAATCTTTTCTTTCCTTTTTTCTTTTTTCTTTTTTGTCAATGAAATGTGAGATCTTGACCAGAAAAAGAAAAAAAAAGAAAAAAATAAATAAAAAAAAAAAGGAGGGATATCTGCATTCCCGGAGCGATGACGACAAGCTATATTTTGAGTGACAGGAGCTGCCCTATGGATAACACAGCCAGGCTGTTCCTGGCTCACCCACATCTCTAGAATTTACCATCATTAATCTGCCAGGACTCCCAATTGACATTTTTCTTCCCAAGACTGTTTTCTTCCTCGTTAATCTTGGGGTTTGCCACATTGCAGGTATCGGGTGGTGCTTTGCTGTGCGACAGCTTCTAAACGTATGCACGATAAAATCGTTATAAATGCCACCATTGCAAGGGTTTAATTTAACTTAAATGCTCAGATTCCCAGCCAGTTTTCTGTGTCACAGGCTGCCACTCACACTACACACCAGAACACCTGCCTGGGAAAAACAGGAATGAGGTTTTTCAACTGGATCAAATCAGTGGTCCAGCTGATGCTGCACCTTGATCCCGGCAGGCACTGGGAACTGATGCTTCAGAGTGAAATTCAGGCAGCCCTGACCTATGAGGGATTATCAGGTTTTCCCCCTCATGCACCATATTTAGAAGGAATTTCATGCCTCGAAGCACCATGGTTTGTGGCTCTTCCAGAATCCTAGCGATTACTGCTGGTTCCCTAGCCCATCCCGCAGACCTCGGCGTGCCCCTGCCCTCATTAGCAGCCGGCAGCAGGGAGTCCCCCAGCTCCGGAAAAGAGGGTGGCGAGTGCCCAAATGGCCTATTTTCCCAAGGCCAGAGAAGTCGGGAAGACCCAGGGGTGCAAAGGGAGAAAAATAGATGGGAACGGAGGGAGAAATAGAAGGTAAGAGAAGGGCAGCAGCAGCAAAAGGGGAATATTGCCTGCGGGGATCAGTGAGGAGCATCCCCCGGGTGGGAATGCGGGGTGGGGGCAGGCTGAGGGGCGGGCTCCTCACCTCGGCAGCCTCCTTCTCAAATTTCTCAATGGTCCGTTTGTCGATGCCCCCGCATTTGTAGATGAGGTGCCCGGTGGTGGTGGATTTCCCAGAGT